GTTACAGGCATGAGCCACCACACCCAGCCTATGATAAGAATTTTAAATAAGGAAATGCATATGAATGTCTGCAAAAGGTTACAGAAACAGAGATTTAATATTTTTCCTTTTAAAAATTAGGATACAAGAATCTCTTAATTTAAAATGTTATACTTCCAAAGACATTACTAATAAGATAAATTAAAATCTTTTGTAGTAAGTTGAAAATCAAGTTTGGAGGAGATATAAATATAATCATTTATATTTCTAAAAAAGAAAAATGTTTAACTAGAAATAAAATTATGCTGATCGATCTTTAGCTCCCTATTTAAACCCAGTGGTTTATTCAGAAGTGGCTCCCTTAGCTTTAAATGATAACTCTTGAAATTGCCACAAATCACTTGGAAATGACAGTGGGAATGAAAGAAAATTGATCAAGTGTGGCTGTCACTGGAATGCATGGATTTTCAGAGGAACTGAAAGTTGTGAAAGAGGAGTACAAAAAAATGTTTTCGTTAAGCAAGCAAAGGGTCTACCTACCCTGTCTTTAGATTTCTAGTATTTTATTCAAGTCCTCCCTTACTCACCTTTTGCGTCAAACACATTAAGGATTAATGCCGTTTTAGATATTGGTTTGGGGCCTTGTAATATGTTAATTTAATAAAATCTGTGTGTATTATACATCCGTGTATTAGTCTGTTCTCACGTTGCTAATAGACATACCAGAGACTGGGTAATTTATAAAGAAAAAGAAGTTTAAGGGACTCACAGTTCCATATGGCTGGGGAGGCCCCACAGTTATGGTGGAAGGTAGGAGAAAAGGCACATCTTACATGGTGGCAGGCAAGAGAGTGTGTGCAGGGGAACTGCCCTTCATAAAACCATCAGATCTTGTGAGACATTCACTATCATGAGAACAGCATGGGAAAAACCTTCCCCCATGATTCAATTACCTCCTACCAGGTCCCTCCCATGACACAGGGGGATTATGGGAGCTGCAATCCAAGACAAGATTTGGGTGGGGATACACCCAAACCATATCAATCTGTATATATATTTATATGTAGGATACATGTATATATATGTGGACATGTAGACACATACACATACACATTTACTCAGAAGAGTTTAAGTGCAATAACAGTTGTGTGGTAGCACTAAACTTTGCCATCTTGACCAGATGATTCCCTATCAAGTCTTATATTCCATCTTATCTAGACTATGCCAGTATTAAGAAGCAATAAATAATACTTACATTTCTTAGATGCCTTAGTTTGACTTTATTTTCCATATTAAAAGCATGAGGCCTGTGAGGCAACTGAGTCAAGGACTCAGAGAACCTCACCAATTGTGAGTATCCAGGTCTTTGCTTTCTCAAAGCAAGACTTAGACAAAGAAAGGAACAGTGACCCTCTGCCTCAGTGGTTCTCAAAGTGTGGTCCATGGAAGCCTGGCAACCTAGACCTTTTTAAGGGACCCCATGAGGTCAAAACTATTTTATAATGCTAAGGGTTTCTTTGCCTGTTTCATTGGTGGTGCAAAAGCCACTGTTAGTAAGACATCTTCACATTACTCAAGATAGAGGCATGAGACCGTGCTGAAGGAATTGTGTTCTTCACTGGTACACACTTGGAATTGAAAAACCAAGTTCACCTACTGTCCTTATTGAGGCAGCAAAAAATATTGTTTTAATAACTCAACTTCTGACTGCATGTTTTATTAATACACTACATGATGAAATGGGAATAATACACAAAGCACTTCTGCTGCATTCCAAAGAACAATGGTTGTCTCAAGAGAAAGCTCTTTTGTAATGGAGTTGAAAGTAGAATGAGCTTACTTTATCACATTATACTACTTTTACTTGAATAAAACAACTGATTATTGAGACTCGAGTATGTGGCATATATATCCTCAAGATGAATGAAGTGATCCTGACACTTCAAGGAGAACAACTAACAGTATTTGTTGACAGCAATAAAATTCAAACTTTCAAGTGATAATTAGAATTTTGGAAAACTTGTGATCACTATCATGAGCTTGACAGCTTCCCAATACTTAAACATGTTTCTGATGATAGCAGTGGTGATATTAATGAATGTGATTTTTAAATGTTATTACTAAAATATGTCTTAATATTTTATTATGATGAAATGTGTCAACATTTGGAAGATCTGCATAACTCAGTGACCCAATGTTTTCCAAATTACCAATGGATGATGTTACAAAATCATGAATATGTAAAAAAATCCATTCAAAGTATAAGATAGAATAATTTTAATATAATGAAGTTTAAAAAGCTCTTTGGCATAGTTTCCAGATTTCATATTGCAACTAACTTAGTCAAGGTTTAGTATACTCTCAAAAATAAATACCTACAATGCTATAAAAAGAACACTCTTCCCTTTTCCAACCTCATGTGTTTGTGAGGCCATGTTTGGTGCATAAATTTCAGATAAAACAACATAACACAATAGATAGAAATTTCAGACAAAACAGCATATAATATCACACTAGACTGAATGCAGAAGCAGATATGTCTTTTATTCAGCTGTCTTTTATATTAAGCAGGCATTATAGGGATTTACAAAAATGTAGAACAGGGCCGGGCGCGGTGGCTCAAGCCTGTAATCCCAGCACTTTGGGAGGCCGAGGCGGGTGGATCACGAGGTCAAGAGATCGAGACCAGCCTGGTCAACATGGTGAAACCCCGTCTCTACTAAAAATACAAAAAATTAGCTGGGCATGGTGGCGTGTGCCTGTAATCCCAGCTACTCAGGAGGCTGAGGCAGGAGAATTGCCTGAACCCAGGAGGCGGAGGTTGCGGTGAGCCAAGATCGTGCCATTGCACTCCAGCCTGGGTTAACAAGAGCGAAACTCCGTCTCAAAAAAAAAAAAAAAAAAAAAAATGTAGAACAATTTTATTGTTCTGCTAATTTTGTTTTAGAAAATATGGTTATTTTTCATAAGAATATATATTAGTGAATGAGTTTACTTTTCAATGAATTATGTGTATTTTAAATTTATTGGTTTTCCCTTCTAGTATAGTAAATATGTATAGGTATAACCCATGTGAACACTTTGGGTTTCTCCTCATTGTTTTAGAGTATGAGGGGCTCCTGAGACCAAAAAATTTGAGAGCCACTGCTCTATATTGATGCATTTTATTTCTGAAATTGTTGCTCACTTTTATAAATAAGTCCAATTTCCTCTATGATGTAAAGAAACTTATCATGGAGGAGACAACAACCAAATCTATCAAGGAATAATAGACTATAACACAGGTGGTTTGCTAATTATCCCTGCCACTGCAGCTGATTAGGGTCACCCCAAATCTGAGTTGGATGAACATTGCTTCATGAATAAGCATCTGAATTTATTCATTTAGTCAACAGTTGTTCAGTTTCTTGTTTTCCAGGCACTATGGCAAGTAATGGGGATGCAAAATAGAGTAAGACAGTAGCTTCTGAAGTGGAAGTTGGAAGTCAAGATGAGTTTATGCCATTCTTACTGCCACTAAGACAACTGTGACTATCAAATATTTGGAGCAGTGGGACTGTAATAATTTACTAAGAAGAATAGAGGCCAAAAAGTGTCAGGAAAATCCAAGTTTGGGCTAGTCTAAAATTTTAACGCCACTAGAAAGATACAAAGTAATTTATTGAGCTTGTGCCATTTGCCTCCAATACGTTTTAAGGACGTGTATAGGCAGAACATGTAGATTCTACCATCAAGAATCCTGCAGCCTAGTGGTGGTAACAGAAAGGAATTAAGAAAAGTTGTGTTTCAGTAAAATGAGGAAACTGTATTCTGCACAGATGTCAAGTAGGTAGGTTGTAGGGGAGAACAGTGCCAGGCAGTTGAAATTTTTAACATTGTGTTAAAGAACGGATTCAAAAAGAAGACAAATTATTGTTTAAGAAAAAGTCACAAAGCAGCAAGACAGAATAGATAACATTGTAATCGTTGCCAAAGCTGTAATCAAAGAAGAGGCTTTGCTTTTATCTGGGATGTTTATTGTCTGTCTAGTTCTTAATTCAGTATTGGGGAAGGAAGATGAAGTTTTTTTTGCCCTCCTTATTCTTTGCCATAAGATAAAGAAAGAATTTTTATTCTCACAGTAGCAGGATGATTAACCTCAATTCCTGGGTCACACTAAAGGCAGAGAAAAAAGGAGGCAGGACAAGAAGAAAAGAATGTGCCTCTTTTTTCCCAGATCCTTGAGTGTGCCCTTTTCATTTACCTTCTGTCATTTGGTTAGAGATAGGAGTTTCCAGAGTAAACTGATGTCTCAGAGGAGAAAATTAGGATATGCGATACGTTTGGCGTTCACAGTGAAATGTGAGAAGTACAGGATACAGAGAAAAAAAATCATACAAAAAAGATACAAGCACAGAGACAAAAAGGAAACAAGGAAGACAAATCGGGGCCTCTTCAACCCACCACCATCAATAAGATCTTTCTTCTTAAAAGACAAGGACCACATGGAAACATTGTTTTCCTTCCCCATGGAACAAGCAAAATGCTTTATAAATAGGTCTCAATAAAGAATTAATACAAAATGAATGCTAAAATTACACTTAAAAATAATTTAAAGCAAAAAAAAAAAAATAGCTTAAAGCAATAACCCAAGATGGTAAGATAAATAGCAAAAACATTTCAAAGAATGGGCTGTAGTCTTCCTGGCATGTTCATGTTCTTTTTAGGAGAAATGAGGGTCCAGGAAATAACTGATGCTTGGCAAGCATCTGGCCATGTTCTTTCTGTCCCACCTGGAACACGAAGGGAACCTTGTTATTGGACAATAAAAGACAAGTAAAGGTACTTGCCTTTTCCATTTGGGTCTCCTTATTTCCTCAACTGGTGGTTTTATTCAGTGACTCATTGGAACATTGATGAGTCTTGACAGCTCTTGCACTAATTCCGACCTCTGTTGTGAGGAGTTGGAGCCACATTTGTTAACAATGCAGTATGTTGTACTTGAAGATAAATTAATTCATGAGTAATCTCTCCTTTCTCAGAAACATGATTCCTGTGACAGAATTCCGGCAGTTCTCTGAGCAGCAGCCTGCCTTCCGAGTGCTGAAGCCATGGTGGGATGTGTTTACAGATTACCTGTCAGTAGCCATGCTCATGATCGGCGTGTTTGGATGTACTTTACAGGTAGGTGCCTAGAACCCTGGCAAAATGAGGGCCAGAGCAAGACACAAGTCAAAGAAACCTCCTTAGAGAACTGGCTGTATAATTTTTAACCGTGTAAGTATTAGTCACTGTTCTCTGTAAGTGTATTTGTAATCATAGCAGGAAACCTGAAACACCTATTTACTGGGTTTTTCTAATAAGGTAAATGTGGTACTTGAAAGATTTTAATGAGCCCAAAGAGCAATTGATTGTAGTCAAATAACATCTGATGTCACTAACATTAAAGGAGGACCCTTATCTTTCAAAATTGGCTTCACAGTGAAATATAGCATATATCCAGCACCATTTATATTGCCCAAGTGGAACTTTTTGCTTTTCTTCATCTTTTACCATTACCCCAATAAGATTCTCTGGAAAAACTAACATTTTGATGAGATCTCATTATTTTACTGAATGTTTAGTTCTGAATGTATTAAAAAAACCCAATAAAAAAATTATATAGATGCTATGTATTTATGTATTGAATCCAGGGTTTTTTTTTTTTTTTTTTGCGTAACTGCTGTGTTCCAGGTACCATACTTTGAGGACATGGATACATGTAGGTAGTTCATTTCTAGGGCAGAAATAAATAAACTAGCAATCAAAATAAATTGTATTATACTATAATAGAGGTGTCCAAAAAACACTAAGAGTGCTGAAGAAAAACCCTCACTTTGGTTTGTGAATAAGAGAAAAAGGTAGTTGAATTAAAACTTGGAGAACCAGCTAAATTTAGTCAAGAACCTCTTCTTAGCTGAAAGTAAAAGAACAAACACCAAGAGGAGAAAAGAAAGCTCTAAGTCATGGATGTGAGAAAGAACATGCCATCTTTGGGAAACTGTCAGTAGAACTGGCACATATGGGGTGTTGACATGAGAGCTGAAGCCATGCTTGCGAATGGAATCACCCAGGGAGAATGTGATGAGGAAGACAGTGTCAGTAATAACATTAAAGAGTAAATGGAGAAGGAAGCAGGGCCCTTGAAGAAGACTGAGAAGGGGCAGCCATAAGGGCAGGTGGAAACCAGGAGAGAGGCATGTGCCAGAACTCAAAGGAAGCCATGGACAGTGATGGCAGGCCACACAACTAACTCATGGACTAAGAAGAGGAGAGTAGCAACTATGTCACTGGAAATCTTATGTCAGTGGTTGGAAAAGTCAATGGAAATCAACATATTATAGAAGCTATGGGGTAGATGTGATTTTCAGGTAGATCAGCTGGAAGAGGGGGTTTATGGAGAGAGAGAGAAATAATTAGAAATGGTACAGAGTGAAAATAAATGACTTTTAAAAGTTGGCCTTAAAAATAGTGAACACATTCTGCTTTCTATGTGTCAGGAGCTCTTTTGAACACTTTACATGTATTTTAACAAATGTCATCCTCATGGTAACTCTAAGATGTAGGCTCTGTTACTGTCCCCACTTACAAATGAGACACGTAAGGCACAGAGAGCTTAAGGATCCTCCCAATGTGAATGTCAAAGCCTTTATTCAATCCAGGCAATTTGGTTCCCAAGTTCCAGCTCTTAGTCCCTCACATCATACTGTCTTTAATTTGGTCACTGAAAATATTTTTCCCTCCTCCCCTCCAACAAAGGGTGCCAATGAATCCGTTCATAAATAAAATAGTTATAGAAGAACCTGCTGTGTATCAGGCACTGTTCAAAGAATTATCAGTGAAGGAAAAAAATGACAAAAATCCCAGCTTTATGGACTTTAAATTCTATGGGGAAAATGAGCAAATTAAGCAAAATAAATTAGTAAATATGTGAGAAGATGATAAAGGCAACAGAAAAAAATAAAGCATGCCAAGACAGTAGTAGAAGTTTCCTGCAGGTAAGATAGAAGCTGCAGTCCTCAAATAAGATGGCCTGGGAAGGCTTCATTGGAAAGGTGACTTTTGGCCAAAGAATTAAAGGAGGTACAGAAGCAAGCCACACAGATGTGCTGGAAGGAGGCTTCCAGGCAGAGGGAACAGCAAGAGCAATAGGCACATAGTGGGGCCAGGCATGGTGGCTCACGCCTGTAATCCCAGCACTTTGGGAGGCCAAGGCGCGTGGATCACGAGGTCAAGAGATCGAGACCATCCTGGTCAACATGGTGAAACCCCGTATCTGCTAAAAATACAAAAAATTAGCTGGGCGTGGTGGCGTGTGCCTGTAATCCTAGCTACTCAGGAGGATGAGGCGGGAGAATTGCCTGAACCCAGGAGGTGGAGGTTGCGGTTAGCTGAGATTGCGCCATTGCACTCCAGCCTGGGTAATGAGCGAAACTCCGTCTCAAAAAAAAAAAAAAAAAAAATGCACATAGTGTAAGGAAGCCACGGGGCCCTTCCTTTTCTGCAGAAGAATTTGATTTTATGATTTTTTTCAGTTTTCTAGTTCTGTTTCCCTGGAGACCTGATAAAGGTGGAATGTTAGCTGTGTTACTAGACAACATTATGGCATAAATGACCGCTGATTGGTCATCTGTATCTGGCGAGGAAGAGTGGTAAGTGCCCTGTAGGAAGCTGTATCATTGGACTTCTGTGGCTGTGGTGAAACCTGTGATTCAGCATGCTCCTTGACACATCAAAAATCGATCTATTGAGTTATAGGAGATACTGGTTCAAGAAAAGCCAGGCCAGTGTGCCAGAGAAATGTGATCAAGGGGAAGTGCAGTAGAGGGTGAGGCCCAAGACGCAATGGGTGCCAGATCATAGGGCTTTGTAGGCTCCTGGAGGGCTTGGCTTTGTTCTGAGTGAGATAGAACATGTTTGGAGGAATTATGAGCAGAGGATTGGCATGATTTATGTTTTAACAAGATCACTACAGCTGTTGAGAATACATTGTAGGGGGCTAAGGATGGAAGTGGAGTTGGTATTTGGAAGGCTAGTGCAATAATCCAGGCAAGAAAATAATTACATGGTTTGGAGTAGGGTGAAGGCAAGCAGTCGTTCTTCATGAATTTTGAAGGAAAATCCACCTTGCTGGAAGATTAAACGTGAAATACAAGAGAAAAAGAGAAATTGGCTGGGCACGGTAACTCATACCTATAATCCCAGCACTTTGGGAGACTGAGGCAGGTCGATCACCTGGGGTTAGGAGTTCAAGACCAGCCTGGCCAATATGGTGAAACCCCCATCTCTACTAAAAATACAAAAATCAGCCGGCCATGGTGGCTCATGCCTGTCATCCCAGCTACTTGGGAGGCTGGGGCAGGAGAATTGCTTGAACCCAAGAGGTGGAGACTGCAGTGAGCTGAGATTGCACCTTTGCACTCGAGCCTGGGTAACAAGGCAAGACTCCATCTCAAGAAAAAAGTCGAATCAAGGATGAGCAAGATTTTTAGACCTCAGCAAGTAGAAAAGCTTGTTTTTAAACATGTTAGGTTTGTGATATATGTTAAACATCAACATGGAGATATTAAGTAATCAGTCGGATGTAAAACCCAGGAGTTTGGGGTTAGTAATAGTAATTTTCAGGAGGAAGGAGGTGAAGATCTGGGATCTAGGTGAAAGGATTACCCTTGATTTGGGTGCAGGAGGCATCTTCCACCAGAATGGGAATGATAGCTACAGCTGCGTTTTTATTTGGTACGGAGACAAAGATGGGAGTCTCTGCCTTACGGCTTGTTGTTTCTCTGATGGAGAAAACAACACATTTCTGAGAGATTATGAGGGTGAGGGATGTAGCAGGAAGTGGCAACAAGGAAGGTAGTACAGCGGAGGTCTCAAGAGGGCAGATTTGGGATGCCTAGTTTGGGAAATAGTAGAGGGAGGTGATATAGATCAGCAGGAGCACTAGAAACCTGTCTTTATTACTGTGTCATGGCTCATGGCACTGCTGCAGGATCTGCCTAACAAGCACAGGGAACTGTTTCTCTTATATATACCATGGCAGGTCAAAGTGCAGAAAAGAGAAGGACACAGAAAATCTTTTAGAATAATTAGTCAACTTGCAATGAAATGAATGAAAATAAGAGTGTACCTGGGGCCAGGCTCCGTGGCTCACGCCCATAATCCCAGCACTTTGGGAGTCCAAGGTGGGCGGATCACGAGGTCAAGAGATCAAGACCATCCTAGCCAACATGGTGAAACCCCATCTCTACTAAAAATACAAAAATTAGCTGGGCATGGTAGCACGTGCCTGTAGTCCCAGCTACTAAGGAAGCTGAGGCAAGAGATTCACTTGAACCCAGGAAGTGGAGCTTGCAGTGAGCCGAGATCTCACCACTGCACTCCAGCCTGGTGACAGAGTGAAACTCCACCTAAAAAAAAAAAAAAGAGTGTACCTACGAAAATGTCTATAATGAGCATCATTTAGGAGATGTGCCTGCAGTAAATTTAAGAGGGGATTCATCCACAAGCTAAACCTCTGTTCCTGTGTGATGGTCAGAATCATCTTCCTATGGCATAGCCCCACAGGGTGTCTGTACAGCCTAGAAGCCTTTTGGGCTCCTCACTGACCAGCCTATTCAGCACCACCACTGTTACCTCCCACAGTCGGTGGCTCCTGCTCAGATAGGTTAACTAACCCAGGCCCTTCACACATAAGCCTCTTTCATCTCTGCAGCCATTACAAAGAAATCTGATACCAGTTGACTGTGTACAGGAAGTGTTGTCTGAGGTGACAAGGTTCTGAGAAAAAATGAGATGCCAAAAGAAACATTGCATCAGAATATGAAGGCTGCAGGGCACAGAATTCATATGCGGTGGACTACTCAATTCAACAAACAATCCTGAGCACCAGGATTGGTGCTCAGGCACTGTGCGGGGTGCTAGATGTTGAAAGAAAAACAGCACAGCCCATACCCTTAGATTGCTAATAGTCTGAAGACCATAGAAACACATAAGCAATGTCTTCCAATGTGTAAGTGCCTTAATGGTGCCTCAAGAGCATCAAATACAATGTTGCCTCTCAGCCACTGGAAGTTAGGGACTCAATGAGATGAGAATTGAGTGAAGTCTCAAAGAATGAGTATACAAAACCAGAATAAATATTT